ATATGTGAGCTCAAGCTCAGCCCACCTAAAATTTGTCTAACTTGGGTTCGGTTTGTTATGGCTTGTTAGCCAAGTGACACCCATGGAAGGCTAGAACCTACTACACCTAAATAGAGATCTCTCTATCTTTGAAATACATTGTGTAAACGATGTGGGACTCCAAATTGTTTGAAACATTACTTACTGGATAACGTCGTTTCGTTATTGAATGGAATTGCACCAAAAGTCCTACACCGCTTAAGGAAGAAGCATGCTAAAGGCTCACTGCTTATAAAATGAAGATGTTAGCAGCACAATTTCTCAAGACAAGCACATGCACAAGCTTCCAAACTTGTAATATAATATGTAGCGTAAATTACAAATACACCCCCTAAGATTTGTTTAAAATACAGATTGCCCCTTATGATTTGAGGAATTACAAATACCACATTGTCAGAATTTTTTATTTAACAAAATTAACTAAAAAAAATAAAATTCATAATTACTCTCTTATACAATAATAAAACTACCTAAAATATTAATTGAAACATATTTCTAATATCATTAAAAACTGGTAATTGACTTCATATTAATAAAAGAAGCGATTTGTTATGAAATTAGAAACCTCAGTAGGTGGAATGTAATTTCCAAAATCACAGGAGATGATTTGTATTTTAATCATACTTTAGGGGGTGTATTTGTAATTTGTCCTAATAAGTATTATATATGTATATGGCTGTTATGACTGGGCTTAGGCCTAGGTCTAAACTCATATTTTTTTGGGGGAGTTATAGGTCGGTCCTTTAAACTTGATTTAATTTCCATGAGGTCTTGACCCAAAATAATCTAGCACATCTTTCCATTTTACCCTTGACATTCAGCCCACACGTAGAAATCGCTCAATCGTTCCACACACACACACACACACTCTCTCTCTCTTAACCGGCCACCGAAGACCACTTCCAACCTTTGACAATATTTTTTTCGGCCATTTTCCATTTCCACCATATCAATACCGCCATGCTGGCAACAAGAGAAAAAGAGAAGAATAAGGATGAAGAAAATGAAGGAGAGGGATAAGGAGTCCTTACTAGAAATAATTCTTTACATTTGCAGATCAACACAAAGATTCAAAGACAAATCCAATAAAAAAAAATTTATACCGACACATTCATTAATAAATTTATCACTATCTATTTGTTAAAAATTAAAAAAAGAAAATATCGTCTTCATAATCACAAATCAGCATAAGATTCAAAAACACACGCAGTGATAAATTTATCACTGACTGTTTGTTAAAAAATTACAAAAAAAAAAAAAAATCGCATTATCATCGTCACAAATTAACACAAGATTCAAAGACATATTCAGTAATAAATTTAGCAGTGATAAACACATTCACTGATAAATTTCTCACTAATTGTTTGTTAAAAGATTACTAAAAAAAAAAAAATCTTATCATCATCGTCACAAATCAACACAAGATTCAAAGAAATATATCAGTGATACATTTATCATTGATATAGTAGATTTAGTTTAAGAGAAATAAAGAGAGAGAGAGAGAGAGAGAGAGAGAGAGAGGCAGGTGATAAATCTAACATGAACAAAAATTAGTGATAAATTTATCAGACTAGTTCAACATGTTTTACAAGTGTAGATATTCACCAACACGCTGTAGAAAGAGTCTCGATCTCATCGGCAACCATGTAAAGTACCAGATTGGCGCCGAAGATGGTAGATCGGCATTGAAAACAACTAGATTTAAAGCCATTGGTGAAGTTTGATGTTGAAGATGGTGGATTGATGATTGAAGAAGAACAACGATGACGGCAGATGAAGGATAGATGATGGAGAAAGAGCGACAGTAATGGCAAAGAGGAAGAAAAAAGACAATGTTAGGTGAGCGAGTCAAATGGTTGAGAGATGGTGAAGTATAGATCGGCGACGGTGGAGATGGTTGGTGAAAAATGGTGGTGGTAGTGGCCGGCGAAGGTGGTTGTGGTGACCGGTGGAGGTGGTAATGGTTAGTGATGAACGATGATGGTGGTTACGGGTGGATGGCCATAACCATAGCTACAATGGTGATATTTTTTAGAGAGAGAGAGAGGGAGGGAGATGAGAAAGAATAAGAGTTTTGTAAAAATGATCAAGAGAAAAGTTAGTACAAATCGAAAAAATTAATAGGTAATAAATATTATAAACAATTAAAGACTTAGAAAGTGTTTGGGATGATTTAAATAGGGATTTTTACCCCGTGGTTGTAGGGGCAAAATCGGGATAAAAAAATATAACAGGACTTCCTGGTGCATAGGATAGAAACTTAGGACTTAATGGGTAATAGATTCAATTATTGGGACTGACTAGTAAAAATCCCAAATATATATATATATATATATATATTTATTTAAGCTTGTGAGCTTAATCGAGTTAACCATTATTGAGCTCGAGCTCGGTTCGTTTGTTATACGAGCTTAAAATTTAAGCTCAAACTCATTTATTTAGTAAGTGAACCGAGTTCGAACAAGCCTAAACAAACCGAACGACAGTTTGTTCACAAATATCTTAGTTCATTTGTAACCCTACTTCTTCCTCAAGATCCCCATTTAAAAATGCCATTTTCACATCTATTTGATATAGCTCTAAATCAAAATGAGCTACTAATGCCATGTGTGGGTGTTGATTTTTGACCACACAACCAAACAGGGAACTTAGCTGGAGAGCACAACAGAATAAATTGAGCCAACCACTTGCCAGATGGTGAGATTGAGCCCCTAATGCTTTGACTGATATGTGACTTTATGAGCATTAGGCTTAAGAGATTAGATTGCTCTCACTTGTCATAAGCATTCTTTTTTTGCAGTAGAACTCTCGTCTGTGGGTTCAGGAGGTTCATCCACATAGTGTGCGAAATCGAGGTCCATGTACCCTAATGTTAGAAGGATTTTGTCCTTCCATTCTGAAAAATTATCACTGTTCAAGAATGGAATATGAGAAGACTCATTAGACAGTACAGAGGTAGAAAACATTACAATTACCAAGAACATCATTAATGCTTTGAAACAATAACTGTGTTTTGAATCAACAAATGTCAAATTCAGTAACACATCTAAACCTTCTTGTGGGTAGAGATCATTAAACTGTATTAGATTTGCTATTACTTTATAATAAGACTAATGGATTCCGAAATATTCAAGAAAAAAAAAAAATGCATACCTGTGGGTTTAAAGCATCCAATCCCTTTAACACTCAATCCATTATCTTATTCCAATTAAATTTCATAAATAACTACTTTCTTATGGGACCGAGAAATTATTTATAAAACATAATTGCAATATAAAAATGCCAAATTAATTTTTAACTTTATGTGATCAAAATACTGAGGATAACTGCATCTTTATGTCTTAAGATGCTCTGAATACTCTTAAAATAGAATAATTTTTTTTTAATTATGGCATAATTTATTAATTTGAGCAAATCCTTATGGTCACAACAAGTACATAATCTTTTAATGCACATAATGTATGATACATGCAATCAAAGTAATATCACTTCAAAAATCCGAAGACCAAACACATGTAATTCACCCTTATAATAGATTTTGCTTAAAAGTTGGAACAAAATAAATTTTATAAGTCCAACACACAGTGTATACATGCTTTTATTTCACATAAATTTTCATGACATAAATAATCTTAATGCATGTAATATGATATTACACTATACTAGAGAGCATGCCAATGAATATGAAAATTTATAAGGCTTTAAAAGATATGTTAAAATAGTTTACTATATGAAATTCAAATGAATTTACTTACTATTTAAACATGTAGCTATAATAAACAAAATATCCTCAATATCATGTCCTTATAAAAATCTAGAAATAAATCTAAGTCTTTTATGCCTTTTAAAATTAACTAAATAAATCCAAATAAAAGCACGAGAACTTCTAGATTTATACAGAATCAGATTAAACATTTTTCTTTTCAATGTGTGTTTCAATTAATGAAAACAATACTTAAAGACATACAACAAGTCTCCTAAATAAAAAATATTTAGAGTAGGAAAAATTCTAAATTAATGTAAATGCCACTAACACAAATCAAGATGAATTCTACTATTGCTACAAATCAATATACATCATGCAATAGTTATTATTTCTAATTAATATACATTATGCAACAGTTCATCTTTAACAGCAAGAAAAGTAACTAGAAAGTTTCAGATTTTTTTTAATAGATGAACCGAACAGATATTTATATTGATTTAAAAGTTAAAATGTTAAGTAGTACAAGAATATACAGGTACAACCACAAAAGTCACGTATAATGATGACCACTATATTGACCCAAAATTCATCATTATGTACTAGAATATCAAATCTCTATATATATAACTTAAATTATAATGACCTGCAATTTGTATATTTTCTTTCACAAGGGATAACAAAACAAACGTCTAAGAGCTTGTGTGCCAGAGTGGACGAACATGCGGAAGCGTAAATACAATAATACTGAACTAACGTAGAAAATTGTCAATGTCTTAAGTTCTCAAACATGACAGAACAAAGGTCCAGCAAAAGAGCCAAATGAAATTTGGCCTTCCAAAAAATACAATAACGTTAAACAACCGAAACATAAGGATAGCTCTGATGCCAATTGTAATAACTAAAATAATTCAATAAGAAAGAGGAATACCTCCTACCATAATGTTCAACCCTATGAATCCTGTTCTTGATCCATCAAATTTTGAATGTATAAATAAAATTACTCATAAAATACTTTTATAGAACCATATGAAAAGTGGAAGGAACAGAGTTTCAAGTCTATTCTATTCACAAAAACGTCTGTGTTTCATTACAGCAAATATGAATTTAGGTGGCGTTTTTTTAACAGCATTTTTTAAAACGTCACCATTTCTAATATTTAACGGCCTGTTTTTCTTTAAGTCAATACGGCGCCGTTTTATGAATAGGAGGCGTTTATTTACGCCTCCAAATGCGTGTTGTCCCACGCGCTTCCTTTTACAATGTGAGAATCTCAACTCCCAAATTGAACCGATGCACTCGCAAATAATCTCTCTGTCTCTCCACTGTCTAAACCAGATTCAGTTGCTTATCAATGGAATCCTCAGAAATCGAAGTTCTCTCTCGAAATCGAAGTGATTCATCAGAGCGATTTCGAAGTTCATCTCAGCGATTCAGATCTCGAAATCGAAGTTCATATCTCGAAATTTTAAAATTCTGAGTTCATATCACTTCGATTTCGATTTAGATTTGAGTTCATATCACTTCGATTTCGATTCAGATCGTGATTAAGATCTCAGCGATTCAGATCGGTCTCAGTGATTCATATCTCGAAATCGAAATCGAAGTTCGATTCAGATCGTGATTCAGATATCAGCGATTCAGATCGGTCTCAGTGTTTCATATCTTGAAATCGAAATCGAGATGATGATGAGGAGATCAGTCTCCGGGTAATGCAGTTGGCTAACATTATTAGTGGAGATGATGATGGTGAAGACGGTATTAACCAGTTGTTCCTTCATGAGGATATCTCGAAGCCTGGACAGAAGGAGTCTCTGCATTTTCTGTGCGGGTTGTACCCTGATGCATTGGGGATTCACTCTGTTTCAATGAGGCCCAAGCTTGAAACTTCTGGGTTTCTTGTAGTTCCGACCAAATACAATGGCCCTGTTTTCCAGTAAGTCTAGTACTGCATTTATGAGGGTTTTATTTTTCTTTGTTGATTGATTAACTAGGAGCTAGTAGCTTTGCGATAGAAACAATGTTGTAGTTATTTGTTGTTTATATCCAACATATTCTAAACATGTTCATAGGTGCATAGCATGAGTAGATACGAAACTATCAGTGGAATCCAATTTAGACAACATCATTCATGGAAGTAACTACAAAGAATGTTGTGCAATACAAAATTATGGTTCGATCAAGATTGACTCAATGACATCAATATGTGGGGTTTGGCCTTCTTGTAAGTGATATATGGTTTTAAGGGAAAATTATTTTGGAATTGAGGTTATAAACTAGATAGGATAAAATGCAATTAATCTAGTTGTCTGATTCAGAATGGTACTTTTTATTTTATTTCTTGACCTTTTTGACATATCTATTGTGTCATTGTATGGTATCAAAGCTGGAAATTTTTCTAAGAATCAAAACATCTAATAACTTTCATGTTTAAACTCTATAGTTTTTTTGTATTTTGTTTTTTCCTTGTGATAAAATCTGCGTAATTGTCCAAAATGAAGTTACACATTTGTTTATTCACATACAGAGATCTTGACGAAGGGATGAGAGATGCACTTCATAGTTATATTGAAGAGCGAGGTATAAACGAGAACCTCTTTCCTTTTCTTCAAGCTTGGCTTTATGTGAAGGATAACCGGAATCTAATGCGTTGGTTCAGAGCAGTAGGCACATTGATTAACGAGCGCAAGCAAGCTTCAGATGCTTAATGTGTTTTATGTTATTCTATGAAATGATTCAATTGGCATGCAAAATGAGATGTTGTTCCTAAGTCAGTCCTGCATTTGCTAGAAGGTTAAGCTGGGTTTCGAGCTTTATATGAGCTTTAGCTTTTTACACAATTTTAATTTTGGGAATGATATTCACACTTCACTTTTAACTCACTTTTTTGTTTTTTTAATTTATGTGCTTATCTTGAAAAGCTGTGTATTCTGGAAAAGTAAATGATAGTTATGCATATTTTCTTTAGTATGAAATGATTTTGAACTAGCCTTGAACAAATTGTTGATGGACAATAAAAATGGAAAATTCTTTATAAGCTGTGTTTGAAGGGCAATTGTGATCTGTTAATAATTTTTCCAGATATTGATCCATTGGTAGAATTCATTTATTTTTTATTTTGTCTCGAGGACAGAGAACCTCTATGTATTTCACTACTTTCTGCTTATTCTCATCTGTAGTAGTATTCATCCGATTATTAAATTGCAATTAAAAGACTACGTTTTATGTCTCTTATTTTATTAATAATAAACTTACGCCCATGTGTCATGCATGCTTTTTTTCTTCTTATTTCACATAAATTGAATTTGTGTTATTGGCAGCTCAGGACACTACTAAAAATTTCTTTCCAGTACAGGTGTTAGTTTACCATGATCTGCTAGGAATGATGCAACACCCACATCATGCCAAGGTCAGTTCAATTGTTGCCACTCTTGCTTAACAATCTCATGTTCTTCATATGCTATATGTCCCACTAAAACAAAAACTGCTTTATCTTTTACAGGTAACCCCCAAATTCTGCAAGCAGTATGGGCAAGTTGGAGATGTCATTAACAAGGCTCTTTCAGAGTACAAGGAAGAAGTAACAAATGGTTCATTCCCAGGCCCAGGCCCCTGCCCATAGCCCGTATAAAATTAATGCCGCCGATGTTGATGGTTTTTTAAATGAGCTGCAAAAGTTGGGTTTGCACAAGGCCGCATTAGCAGCTGCTACAACAGCTGAGAAGATTGAGAATGCTGAATCACCTGATGTAGGATCATTCTGAACTGAGAAAATTAAATTATATTCGACAGGGCCTAGGGAAATCATTCTGAACTGAGAAACACCAGCTATACTTCAAATAATTTGGGAAATGGCTTCCATTTGATGGCCCATTCACAATGATTACTTTCCTTCTATTACTTAATTTTTTTAATCAATAATCCCAGAAGATGAAATCAAATAACGCTTTAGGACCCAATGATATTCCTATTGAAACTTGGAAGTGCTTGGGTAAGAAACACCACTATTACTAATATTGGTATTCCTTTTCTTTTCCTTTGTGCTTTCCTTGCCCAAGTTGGCCTCTGTTATTCTGCTAAGGTGTGGATATAGATATGATATTTTCACTCAACTTCTTCGTTTTGTTTTTTTTGTTTTCGGATTTATGTTACTGGGTCAAACTTTGTCTTGTGTGCAGGTCTATGTGGTCTATATGGGAAGCAGAGATGGTCATGACCCAGATGAGATTTTGATGCAGAACCACTAATTCCTCACTGATTTTCATGGTGGAAGGTCCACCCAATGTTCCTTTTTTCTCTTTTTTTTTCTTTTTTTTCAACTGTACACCACCATGTTTTCACACTTTTTTTTATTTTTTTTTATTTTTTTATGGTTTGATGTTATTGTTGTGTTCCTCTTCTTGTTCTTATTGAGGATTGTTTGGTTGTGCTGATTGAATCATTCAATTGGTGACACAGTGTTGAACAAGCCAGGGCATCTCATGTCTACAGTTACAGACATGGTTTCAGAGGCTTTACAACCAAGTTGACAGAGGACCAAGCTTTTGAAATTGCCAGTATGTCAATACAATAGTAGTATTTACTATTATCTTTACCATTTCTCAGCATAATTGATTGATTTATATCCATGGCTCTGAAAAATCAATGTCATGCTTTTAAAAATTGAGACACAGAGATGCCTGGAGTGGTGTCGATGTTTCCAAACAACCGCAGGAGGCTTCACACGACTCATTCATGGGATTTCATGGGTCTTTTGGGAGAAGAAACCATGGAAATCCCTGGGTATTCCACCAAGAACCAAGTTAATGTCGTTATCGGCTTCATTGATACCGGTTAGTTGTCTTTCCCTTTCTATCGAGAACAATTGGTTTCATTGATTAGTATCACTGTATGTGCATGCACAAATTAGACAATGTTCATTTATTAGTTCATTATGGAGACATGACCTCTAGGCTCTTCCTAGGATTAGGAGTAGAAAACAAACTGACTCTCTGTGCTCATTGAATACAACACTTGCTCATTCTTTAATGAGTACCCATTATCATTTTCTTTGATGCCCTGTTTGTTTGAAGTCACAAGTATGTGAGCTAACAATGCCCTTCCTCACTCTTCATTATGATTTCGAACTAAAATGAGACTTTTCATTATGATTTTAGAAATTATAGGTTCATTTTGTTTAATCAAAAAACACTCATCATTCTAGTCCACTTTTCTTTTTAATCCTCTCTTTGTCACTGTTTTTGCTAACAAAGGCGTGCCGGTCTCTCTTGCCACTATTAAGATTGTAGTAGAGTTCTTTTTCACACACACAACTCTCAAATTGTTGTGAAACATATTGAATTGCAACATATCTCTCTCACACTCTATGAAATTGCAATTAATTTTAAGCACTGCTTAAAGCAGGAATTTGGCCTGAATTCCCAAGTTCAGTGATGCTCACATGCCTCCATCGGCTATTTATTCGGGTACGTATTTTGTTTCCTGACTTTTATTGAGTTTTTGATATTTGTTGATGTCTTTTATTTTCTTGAATGGTTGCTTTTGAGAATTTCATATCAATAAATATTGCAGATTTTGGTATTTTTTCCATGCTATATACCATCTTGAGTTTTAATTTAATGTTATCATTCTTTGAAATGTCCTAATTTAGAAAATATTGAAATTGCAAAGCTCTTGTTGAAGTTGAGAGATTGCTAACATTGTCTGAGAATAGGGAGATACATGATGTAGAGAATGCAAACTAGACAGTGAAAGTTTGAAATTTGTAAAGGTTTTAGTGCCTATGGGCCTCATCCGATCAAATTTTTGGTCAATTTGGGTGTCATTTTATGTCCTTTACAAGTTATTTGATGCTAGTTTGGTTTTACTTATGTGTTATCTGGCTTTAGGGTATGTATTAACAATTTTTTTTTTTTTTTTTTTGTATTATACTTCTTGTATTATTAAACTTATTTTTAATTTTTGAGTCTTTTCAGATGTTTAATTCAATGCTTTATGTTATCATCTTGTCAATGTTATAGGTTTTGTTGGTGAGCTGCATCCTGACAAGAACAGTGATAACAAGAAGCATGTGCTTTACACACATAAAAACATTATTGTAAAATACAAGGATCAGGTCCTTTGCTTATGAATCATTTGATTTTTTGGTTGAGAATTGTAAATTCAAATTTTGGACATGTTATTTTGTGAGTAATGTTAAAACATCATTTGTGAATATGTTATTTTGTGGGTAATGATGATTGGATATTAAATTGAATGGGCAAGTGAATTAATGCTACATTTACTATTTGAATGGAAGTTATTATTTCATATTAGTGCTATTCAATTTTATTAAAGGTACTTTTTTAGTTCAATCACATAAAATTAGCACAATTTTTATAAAAAAAAAATAAAAAAAAAAAGAGGATATCACGGCGTTTTGAGAAATGCCACCTAAACTCCAAAGCTAACGGGCAGTTTTTAAAAAAAAGATATGACGGCATTTTGAAAACGTCGCTAAATCATAGTGATGTCATAATGGTGTTAGGGTAGGACATTTGGCGGCGTTTTTAAAAACACCGCTATACTAAATATAGCGACGCTTTTAAAGCGTCATAAAGCTATGGCGACGGCCGCATCTTCGACGTTTGGTACTAAACGCCACGAAAACAATTAGCAGCGTTTTTGATAGATATAGTGGCGTTTTTTAAACGCCACTAAAAGCTTAATTTCTAGCAGTGTCTAGGGAAAGCAAAAATTATTTGATGGGAATTTTTCTAACCCTTCAAAGCCCAAACCTACATGTAACTAATGCTTCAAAGCAAACCTGCATGTGTATGAGGTGCAACACTCATCCCTAGATGAATGGAGCTTAAGCCACACTCTATTCAAACTACAGGTGGAAGGAAAACAAAACTTTAAAGATGATAGCAGACTACCAAAATATTGGTATTATGCATTGTGCGTTATAAAGTGACCTTTCACTTGTATATCAGTTGTTTGCCACAAAATTTCATTCTAGTCAACCACCAACGAGAATCAACCCATTTGAAATAACACCATCTTATGTTTAATTCACTTCTTTCGCTTAAATATCTGTTGTTCGTATTTATTTTTTCTAAAATTATTGTACTTCCAATAAATTTTGATCTATTTCAAAATCAATAGTTAGTTTAACACCCTATATATAGCAAAATGGCAGAGAATGATCAATGTTCGCAACGTCAAGTAGCATGACTTTATTGAGTTAATTAGTTCTCATAATCTTTCTTTCAAAATATACATGGTAATCTCACACAACATTTGTCCTGGCTTTAAAGGAATTTAATAATTCATGGTAAAACTTTTTTTGTAGTACTTGTTCATCTTTTTTTGACAGTCGCACATTTAAAAGCTGCACAGATAACAATCAAATGAAGAACGCAATTGCTTAAAGGCGCCATCAATGTTATTTCCAAAAGCATAATCAAAGGAATAAAATGCAGAGTATTTTACCTCTTCCTCTACCCCTTCCCCGACCACAACGTCCTCTCCCACGCATATTAGGAGATCCCTCTGATTCCACACAAGAATAACCTAATTATAAAAATATTTTAGAAAAAAATAATATAGGCAATTATATAATATTTATTTACCTCCTTCATAATCATATTCATTCCATGGTTTCACTTGATCAACTGGAATAGGTGTTTGGTACGTGCAGTTTAGTTAGAAGATAGGATACTAATCATTAGCAACTCAAATGTTCAAATACACTTTATCATACTAAAAATCCTACATAAATTTAAAGGTTCTCAACCATAAAACAAGACTTAAAAAGACTATGATGATCATCAACCATTAACTACGAAAAAAAACAAAGGGCAGGATAGCTCAAATGTAGTCAAATTTTGGATAGTTAAACAATGGATTCATAGGATCATATATTTTGGAGTAAACTATCAATATGTTCTAATAGTTGGATTTAATTCCCATCAAGTCCTATTGAAAATAAGTCCAAGTAAAATCGTCACTAAAAATAATTGTGACGATTTTTGGCATGTTGCTAAAAGTTGAGAATTAGTAACTTTGTTTTTCTCACGGTTTGTATAAATTGTCGCTAAAACTTACAATTACTGATATTTTTCAAACTGTCGCTAAAAGTTAAAAATTAGTGACTTTTTTGCAGCAATTTTTTAAAAATGTTGCTAAATATTAACAATAAGTGACGTGACATTTTTTTAATAGTGCTTGATGAAAAATTCAATTAATTATCATAGGACTTACTAGATAGTCCACCTATTAGGATATACACATAAGTACCCCTATAATTTGGGCATGTATTCTTTTTTAGGCTCATCATTGCACAATCTAATCATTTTTTCAAGTAAATCCAGAGAGAAACTCTTTGTTTAAAACCTAAATTCTATTCATCGAATCATTGTTTAGATTGTTATTTTTTTGTTTGTTGGTTGACACCCAATGATTGTACAATTCATCAAAGTTGGCTCTGCATGTTCTATTCAATACAAGTAAGAGAAGAACTCAACTTGGAATTTTTAAAAGAGAAAAAAATAATAAATAAATAAAAACAGAACCAAGTCAAGATGAAATGGATCATTTTCCTCTTTGCAACTCCTACGTTTAAAGCAAGATGTTGTCTATTAGACCATGAATTACAAATGTCTAGAAAATTTTCACTGCTACTTCACAAGGCAATCCACGTCAATGTAATGAAGGTAAAGGACCCACGACAATGACAAAATGCCCCAAACAATTGATCTATTTGCTAAGCATGGCATTGCAGCTCATCAAGCATTAACATCATCTAATCAAGCATTAACATCATCTATAGTCACCAAAATATAATTACTGTCCACACATCACCAAAAACACACATGACCAACCTTGGAGGCTTAGGACCTCTGTAATTACCTTAATCATAGATAATATCTCAAAAGTGATATACACTAAGAAGGGAGTTATAAGCTATACGATCAGAGGAGAAAGATTCGCATAGACTAGCATTTTTCACTCTTAAGTAGTTTATGCAACACTTTATTAAGGATTACAGGCTCTTCACTATGTAAAAAGTAACAAAGCAACAAAAAAGCCTCCAAGTGTAGATTGTCAATGTTAGATGAATATGGATACCATCACACCTTACACAAAATCTCATCCCTTGGGAGTTCTTGAATTACTGACCCCGTATGAACATTCACGAGTATTTACAATCTTCCTAATTAATATGGAGCGGTAAAGGTTTCCACTTGTGGGCAAAAATAAGCACACTTATGGCATGTATGTAGGCTAGCAACTCTTCACAGAGGGCCTCAAGAAGCAGGAATAATAGATAAACACATATACGCAAACAGATACAAATATACATGAGCCATACTTGTACAATCTTGCATTAATATCATCCACTAATAAATGATCACAACCTTCCATCCCTAACCCAAAATCTCAAGTTGATTATTGCGAACAGAAATAACGCAAGGGAAGAAAGTAAAATTTACCCCACAGAAGATGTATCCAGTTCCTTCTTGGACAAAGTAATTGTTATCACTGAGACATGGCTAGTAGTTTCTAGGCTGCACTAGCAAAAAATATATCAGCCTAATAACCATCAAAATGACACTAGACATAATGACTAGTTCACAAGCATAAGAAGATGTTTTTCTTCTTACGAAAGAAGGCCTTCTTCTAATGGTTCCCATGTATCAGTTATATCCATTGAACCAATTGATGTATTCTGATGGAGGCCAGTAATCCTTCTATGATACAGAAAACTCTTTTCCATTAGCATGTAATACATAGAAGACAACATAGACAATTTTTCTGGGGAGGGAGGAAAGGGATATTTGAACAATTTTCCACACAAACCAAACAGGAGAGAAGAACCACCTTAATCAATTCAGCAATCATCACAGTTTTGTTGGTAGCTCTGCCCATGGCCTTTAGAGCAATTTCATTGGATCCTTTCTCCTACAAAAACATTAAATAAACAAAAAATAAATAGGAGTTAAGAAAGAGAAAAGAGAATAAAAGTAAATCTAAAGACCAAAAGAAACAGTGAGAGGCGCAAATAGTTTGCATGGTGCTAGATTGTCATGAGATAGAGTTTGTATGGTAATGGACAATCATTATGGATATTCAATTATTTATTTATGACAATAAAATATAATATATCTTTTTTTTAAAATTTTGAATATTTTAATTAAAAATTGTATTTTTTAAATTCAATTAATCTAGATATAATTAAAAAGTAAAATATTTATAAAAAAATATATATATATACAAAAAATATTTAAAAAAAAATGATTTTTTATATTTTTATATTTGGCGTAATTTTAATTTTTTTAATAAAATTTATACTTTTAAATGTATCTAAATTTTGTATTTTTTTTTTCCTCAAATTGATTCATAAAACTCCAATA